TCACGAGTAGCCGAATCCATACTCATAGAATAAAGACATCCGATAATAAATATTTAACAACGGGCAATTAGAGTTTTTCCTACCCATAAATTTAAAAGCAAAGGAATCATCGATAATGAAAACAATTAAAAGTGTTATATTTATCGATAATGAATTATATTTAACGATAATGAAAACACATAAAAGTCTTATATTTAACGATGTTGAAAATTGTAAAACTGAGCATTCACTTTAAACAAACGTTACAAGGAATCAACAAAGTAGAGAAGAGGTACAGTATATGCATATACATATATATAATATAATTAACTTTAATCCTAATTAAGTTATATATATATATATGTATATATATATATATATATATATATATATATATACATATATATACATATATATATCATCTAATAAATAAAAAAATAACTGAAATAACCTATGGTGTCCGTCAATTTAATGAACTGATTAAGAAGGGTTGTCTGTTTACTGAAACCTGCTTCGTTCTTTGCTTTAATTCTGAATGTATAAGATCTACTACTTCGAAGAAAATCACACGTAAAATTGTTTTTTTGGCCATCAACTCTGCCAGCTGGCAAAAAATCTGTATCATGCTCTTCTTTAAAATCAATAAAATACTGAGCAACCTTTGAGTCTGCTGAAAAATCCCATTCCAACGTAACTTCTGTATCAGATATTTCTTTTACTCGTAAATTTTTTGGTGCACTTGGTAAAGCTATTTAATAAAACTATTATTAATTTTAGATAAGTTTTTTCAATAAATACAAAAAACCTCTCGCGTAAACGGGTTCAAATAGTTCACTAGATTTTTTTGACTTTCCGTGTTCATTGATAGCAGTAACTTTTACATAATAGCCAGCTCCAGGCTTCAAGTTTGTTATTTTAGCAGACAAAACATTTCCCTCTACAATAGTTGCTGAGCTCCAAGCATTACAAAAAATGTCACAAATTTCCACTTCATATTGTGTAACTTGACAATTTTCATTTGAATCCGGAGGTTGCCAACCTAAGGTAATGCTGAATTCGTCTGAAGTTAAAATCTTTAGATTCAGTGGTGATGTCGGAAGATCTGCAAAATGATTAAAAATGATTGAACTTAGGTACATAAAAAAAATTACAGAATGATTAACAAACGATTACACTTGGAAATATTTTTTTGAAATTCATGGTAAGGTAGTTTAAATTTTAATAACCTTTATTGTTATCAATTTGAAAAGGTTCAGTCAATTCAACAGGTTCTCCAACAATTCCAAACTTGTATATAGCATAAACTCTAGCAAAATATTTTGTATATTTAGATAAAGACGACACTTCAAAACTTTTGCATATTCCTTCAGTTTCTCCTACTTTTTTCCATAAATTTGAATCATTTGGCAAAATTTCAATAACAAATTTGTCAACTTGAAATGACGCTGGATCTTTTATTTCCCATTTAAGCAAAACATTTGTATTGTTTAATAAATAACAACGCAAATTATACAAGTCATCTGAAAATTTTTTAATAAAATAAAAATGTTTAAATAAAAGTTTAAACAAAAACATTTAATTGCTGCCATGATTTAAGTCTAAGAAAATATTGAGTAATGTTTTAAAATTACATAACGAACTCTGATGCAGTTCAAAAAATAGAACGGTACAAAAAACTTTATTTTGATTCTATCAAGCTACCTTATTTCTAAGCTAATTCCACCCCCTACTAATTTTGACAATTACTGTTTCTTGACATCTGCGCTCACGCACATGCTATCATTAAAAAAATATAAAAAAGAAACTTAATCAGAGTACTAAAAACCTAAATTACTCCGCATAACAGTACAAGGCCTGAAGCTGAACAATAATGTAGCCTAATTATCCTCCGCTCTAGTGAAAATAGTAATCTTACTCTTCTTCTTACTCTACTTTTTTCTGCTTTTGATACTGTTGACCATACCATTCTCTTGAGGCCGCTGGATCATTCTTTCAATATTACTGATTCTTGGTTTTCATCTTATTTTTGTAGTCGTTTTTCTCTGTTTTTTTCAATAAGACTACGTCTAACACCACTATTTTTCTTTTGGGAAACCTCAAGGGTCTCTTCTATTTATACTCTACTTCTGAACTACCTCGTGTTATTAATAATTTTTCTTTTACTAGTCAACATATGCTTATGATTCTTATATAAATACTTCTTTTCCCGCATCTAATCTCCATGGTGTTCTTCGTAATCTATCTCTATGTCTTTCTTCCATTATTGCTTTGTCTGACTTCATGTGTCTTAAACTTAACCTTTCTAAGTTTGAACTAATATGTTTTAATAAATCTAACCACTCTATTACTATTTTTTCACTCATCTTACCTGATACTAAAACTCTTGATGTTTTTTAAAAGTTTCGTAGTCTAGGTTTAATTTTTGATTCTCACAAGTTTCTTTTTTTCAGATTTATAGTGTTGCTAAAAGTTCTTACTTTCATTTAAGCAGAATAAAACACTTTTGCCTTTTCTTGATGATCATACTCTTCTCCTTGTTACTTCTTTATTTTTATCTAGGATTGATTATTTTAACTCACTCTACTATTGTCTCCCGGATTCTACATACTTTCGTTTAAGAAAAGCTTTTAACTCTGGTGCTCGTCTAGTTGCTCCTGCCCCTATCTTTTCTCATATATCTCCATATCTTGTTCTTTGGCAATGGTTACTTAAAAAATATAAAATAATTTTTTTAAATATGCACATTAATTTATAAGTCTCAATCTAAATTATTTCATGAAAACTTATCAGATATATTAATTGAACATAAACTCTCCCGTTTACAATCGTCTACTTGTTTTCAGTTCTTAAATCGTGTTAAACACTCGTTTGCTGAATCCATCTGTTTGCAAAGTTCACTGAGGAGCGCGGTTGAACATTGCGGAAATTGCGCTTTAAAAACTAATTCATTGACTGACTGACTGATTGATTGATTGATTTATTGATATATGTTCACATTATATTATTTTTTATAATACAGTCTTGTCAATTTGTAAATTAAATTTTCGTGCCACAAAGGTGGTGCTAATCACACCACACGGCGCACTTACACATTATGTATGCAAGCGCAAGAACCACATCATACCCGTATGATGGTCTTTGAATTTCGGACAGAGAGTATTCGAAACATGCTAGTCATAGCGGCGCAAGACTGAGCTAACTTGGTTACCTATATATATATATATATAACTTGGTTAACGTTAAAATCTTAAAAATCGCGTTTTATATTGTTTAACGTTATTAAATTTATTTTATTGGTTTTCTGTTTTAATTAAATAATTTATATAAATTAATAATTACTTGTTCCTTCTTATCAAATATCTTACATACCTTATATATAATGCACTGAAGATGAGTTATCTATAACTCGAAATAGCTATTTGCAAATTTATTTAATAAAAATTTTTAAAAAAACAATAAAATGTCTAATTTCTCTGACATTAATAAATTAAAAAGAAATATAAAAAAGTTGAACAATGTTGAAAGTAGTGTTGAATTTTTGAAATGTTGCGTTAACAACAGTCTGTTACCTATATATATATATATATATATATATATATATATATATATATATGGTTTTTTAATAAATATTGGAATAAGACTTTTAATAATAAATTTAATTTAATTATCAAAATATAAATATAAAAATATAAATTATTAATTAAGACTATTATTCTTAATTCAATATGTATATATATATATATATATATAGAATTTATATATATATATATACGTTGAACAATGTTGAAAGTAGTGTTGAATTTTTGAAATGTTGCGTTAACAACAGTCTGTTGCAATATATATATATATATATATATATATATATATATATATATATATATATATATATATAAAAATAATGCAATTAAATATATAATAACTTAATTTTAGCTTATTTAACTTCGTTTTAATTATTTAAATATCAATTTCATTTTCATGTTTATTCCTTTATTTAACCTTGTTTTAAAAGTACGTTTCATATGTTTTTTAAATCTTTTAAATTGTTTCACACCATTGTTAAAACCCAATATAATTTCAATATTTACTTTAATAATATTTTAATAATCTTAATTTAATTTCATCTTAAAATATTAAATCCAGCTCCGACGATGGCTAAATAGCCGAAACAGCGCTGTCAGCTGACACTTACAACATTAATTAAATTATGACATTAAATAAATACGAGTATAAAAATTTACGTCGTGTTGAAGTTGTCTTTAAAAAACTACTAAATGCAGAATGGGCATATAAATTTAACGATATATGCATCAAAGAAAGCCTCGTTCCAAACTATATATATATATATATATATATATATATATATATATATATGTATATATATATATATATATATATATGGTTTTTTTTAAATATTGGAATAAGACTTTTAATAATTAATTTAATTTAATTATCAAAATATAAATATAAAAATATAAATTATTAATTAAGACTATTAGTCTCAATCCAATATATATATATATATATATGTATGTATATATATATATATAAATATATATATATATATTCACATATATATATATTCCTATACATATATATATAGAATTTATATATATATATATATACGTGAGAAATGATTATTCTACCATAATTATCTTTGAGAGAAACTGGTTCATAAATTTCAGCCGGAATTGGACTGGAACCAGCTGAATTTTTTCCTTTGATTCTAAATTTATATAATTTTTTTTTTTGCAAATATTCACAAGTGTATGTGTAAATTCTGCCATCAACTCTTGCAAAGGAAGTGAAGTCGTTTTCATCTTCTGTTTTAGTTTCTATCAAGTATTGCACAACGTCATTGCTACCATCTAAATCAGGTGATTCCCATTTTAAAGTCACAGATTTTGAGGTTATATTAGTTACTCGAAAATATTTTGGTGTTCCTGGGCAGTCTGAATTGTTATGGTTTTAAAAATTTTATATAAAGTGATAAATGTCAGTTATCTGTTAATTTAATTTTAAATTAAAAAATATCTAACTTTTAGACTGCTTAGCACAAACAGGTTCAGGTAAATCAATCGGTCTATTGCTTTTTCCGGCTTTGTTTAAAGCATATACTTTAACGAAATAATACTCACCAACATCTAAGTTATCGATTGTGGCGAAATATTCGGATGGCGCACATTTTTTTGAAATTGTCCAGGTAGGACTTCCTTTTTTGTTGCATTCAATCAGAAAACCTATGATTGGTGACCCACCGTCATAACGCGGTTTTTCCCAAGCCAGTGACAGAGAACCATCTTTTACTTCAACTAATTTTAAATCCATTGGCGCACTTGGTGCAACTAAAAATGCAATAAGTAGTTTTAATACATGGTTTTTCATAATTAGCTAAATAACCTGATGGGTCGGCTAGGTGAACGCATTTTTTTAGTTCGGTTCCTAAACAACTATAACCGGCTTGATTACGAGATCTTATTCTAAATAAATATGACATATTTTTTTCAAGAAACTCGCACATAAAGGTATTTTCAGTGCCATTCACTCTTCCAATTGGTCGATAGACATCATTTTCTTTTTTCATATCAATAAAATATTCTTCAACATCATTATTGTTTGATCTATCCCATGTTAACAAGATAGAGTCTGTATATATCTCTGATACCTGAAAGTTGGATGGGGCTTCTGGAAGTTCTGAATATAGAAAACATAACGTGCCAATCAGAAAGGTGAACGTTTGTTCATAAAAGTTTAAATATTTAGATGTTTAAAATATGCACTTACTTAATGGTGTTTTAACATAAACAGCTTCATAGAGTTCTGCTGGCCTTTTACACCGACCAATCTCATTATAGGCAGACACTCTAACGAAATAATAACTTCCAGTAATTAAATCACTAATTTTACATTCTAAAGGAAGCACTTGGGCATCAACTTGTTCAACTTTTTTCCAAATGTTACTTCCGCTAGGACAAATTTCGATAATGTAATGGGTTATCTGACTTCCTCCATCGATCTTTGGAGGACGCCACGTTATGCAAATCGAACTGTCATCAGTTGATTGCAATGATAAATTTAATGGAGATGAAGGGACCTCTAAATTTTCATGAATAAAAACAAAATCAATTAGATTTGGTAAAAAAATTATTAATTAAAATTAAAAAAATTATTTACACAATAAATTCTCACTACATATTCAACAAAACATTTTTTTAAATATTCAGGTGTAAAAATATTCTATCACAGCATTTTAACCTTTTACAAGTTGCAGCTGAATCGCACATGGTAATTCACAAAATTCACTGAAGCCAGCAGAATTTTTAGCTCTCACTCTCGCCCAATAGAGGCTATCATTTTTTAAATATTCTAACAAAAATTTTGTTGTTTGACCATCAACATGACCAACAGGCAAATAATCATCACTGTTTTCCTCTTTTACATATATGAAATATTGAAGTGTTTCATTTTCATTACCTGAACCACTTGCTAGGCGAGGTGAACTCCAAGATATTAACGCAGAGTTGCTCGTAACGTTTTCTAATTTTATGTCCACAGGTTTATCAGGAAGTTCTTTTAAAAAGTTATTTTATGTTTTGTTATATAATACATTACTTAAAAATGCAAAAAGCAAAAAACTCCAGAAAAATTGAAAATAAAATAAATTTGTGGTAAGTTTCATGTTTAAATTTAGCAGCAAGATTGAGAGCTAAATATATAACAGATATTTTGTAAATTATAAAAGTGAAATGATTTGGCGATATGAAATGCAACGAAAAAGTAGTGAGATTATGAAACATGACATAAAAAAATTGAAAAATTAGCAATGAAATGAAAAATGGTGGTGCTGTGTATGTGTAGAAAAGACGTGAGCAAATATTTTAAATGTGGCAAACCTATCATTACAAATATATCTTAACAACAGCTTTGCAGTGATCCCTGGTTTGTTAAAATTGTTTTTGAAAACAATCTAGGTTTTTCATTACAAAAAAACATTAATATTGCTAAAAATAAACTAACGTTTGGCTTTGATACAACAAATAGGTTCATAAAATTCAGCTGCTTTTTTGCTAATTCCAATTTCGTTTTTTGCATAAACTCTTACAAAATAAGATGACCCAGTCTTAAGCCTTTTTAAAATAGCTCTATAAATATTTCCATCAGTTGCATCTGCATGGAACCATACTCTAGAACCATATTCACATAAATCAATTAAATATTGTTTGATAGGACAGCCTCCATCGTATTTGGGTGGCATCCATGAAATACTCATCATTCCATCATCGACTTTCAACAGCCTCAAGTTCAACGGGTCAGATGGAACATCTAAGGATTGACAAAAATTAATAAAAATAAATATTGGTTACATTTCATAAAAAAAAAACCTCTGATGCCTTCTAAATAAACAGGCTGCTGAAGAATAGCTGATTCTTTGCTAAATCCTGCTGCATTTTTAGCTTTGATTCTGAAGAGATATGGTCTGCCTTTCTGAAGGAAATCACATGTAAAAACGTTTGTTTTACTATCTACTCGACCAGCTGGAAGATAATCAACATTGTTTTCTTCTTTGAAATCAATGAAATATTGAGCCACATCAGATTCAATAGAATGATCCCACTCCAAATCCACCTCCCATTGAGTTGATTTTTTAACTCTTAAATTTCGTGGACAATTTGGAATTTCTGTAAAAGCATAAGGGTAAACTAATGATAACGTATGAACTGATGCTATTTGAAAGTTTTAAAGTAATTTTTTTACTACTTTTAAAAGATAAATGCTAGTCATGAAGCAATTTCAGAACATCATTAATAAATTGTAATTAAAATCACTGATGTAATAAAAAATGTATAATAAAATATTAACTTAACTGTAGCTGTAAACTTACCAACAGGTTTTCTTGGGCAAACTGGTTCAAACATTTCAGCAGGAATTTTATTTCTGCCGATTGTATTGACAGCGGAAACTCGAACAAAATAAAGGGCATCATTCTCCAAATGATTAATTGAGTACATGCTCTTTGAACTGTCAACTTCATCAGCCAGTTCCCAATTATTTGAATCCATCCTTCTAAATTCTACGACATATTTCAAGATAGCTGAACCTCCATTATTGTAGGGGGAGTCCCAAGCTACTGTTATTGTATGATCTCCAGTAGACGTTTGTCTGAGATTTAGCGGTGTACCTGGAACATCTGTCAAATTTAATTTAAATTGTGACAGTTAATGTTAGGAAATGTTGTGTCTATAACAACACAAATTAACAAACTTGTTTTATAATTTTATAAGGAACAAAACAAAATTTTTAAAGTAACAAAAAAATGAACAAAATACTGAACTTATGCTGCACAATAAAAATTAAAAATAATAATAATAATCAACATATAAAAACTGTCGTGATTCCCCATGAAGCGTCATATCTTATTTTTGAATTGATTTAAAAAAGGTCAAGGTCCATTACACTTTTTCTAGGTTCAGAAGAATCGACAACACATTAACAGCTTATATGAATACATGGTAAACGACGCATCCTACACGAAGCAAAAGTAGGCGGGAATCTTTTTGCTATTTTCAAACCCTGTCACAGCGAAACGACCAATTAATCAACCAATTATTGATCCTTCGAGGGACCGTCGAGGCCGATGGTGTACATCTAAGCATGCTTTTTACATTTATTTTTTTTCTTTCTAAAAACCTTTTCTATCTTTGGCCAGTTTTATTGAATTTAGAATACCAACACCAGTCCATTTAGTAATGTCATCTATCCATTTTTTTGCAGGTATACCAACTTTTTTTTCAATCTCTTTTCCTCATTAGTACCATCTTAATCAATCTGTCTTCCCTCATTCTACAATTATGTCTAAAAAATCCCAATTTTCTTTTTCTCTGACTTTGTCATATACACTTTTCTGTCTTCCAAGTTGATTTCTGATGGTTTCGTTCTTTACTTTCTGCCTCCAACTGATTCCTAACAGATTTCAGTAACACTTCATCTCAAATGCTTCCAATCTGTTTTTGTCTCTTTTCTTTATTTTCCATGTCTCACATGCATAGAGCAAGCTCGGAAAAACGCAAGATTCTATCATTTTCACAATTTTGTTTTTATAGATATATTTCCACTTTTCCATATTTCCTTCAATGATGCGAACATTCCATGGACAATTGCTATCTTTCTGTCAAATTCTTTTGTGCAGTTGTTGTCACAGGTTATAAAACTGCCAAGATACACAAACTGGTCTACCTGCTCGAGTTTTTCTGATTCTATCTGATATTCTGCATTGTTTCTGCCTTTCCCCGTAATCATCACCTTCGTTTTGTCTTTGTTGAGATGCAACCCGTGATCTTTTCCACCAACATGTGTTAGTTCAATTATCTTCTGTAGACTTTCTTCACAGGAAGCTATAAGATCTATATCGTCTGCAAACCTGAAATTTTTGACAGTTCTCCTCCCTATTTAAATTTCACCCAATTCCGAATTTTTTATTTTTTTCATTGCTTTTTTTAACAATGCTATGAACAGTATTGGTAAAATTGGTCTGCTACCAATGTTTGCCTTTATCCAATTCCCAAGTTCTGTACCTATTATTGCATACTATTTCTGCCGACGGTCTGAAGGATTATAGCGAAATTAAAAGACTCATTCTGCAGGAGTTCGGGTTAAACCCGACAAAATTGAGAGATGAATTCTTCGCTCTGAGAAGACAGAAAAGCGAATCGTACACATGTTTCGGGGTGAAATTATATGGCACGCTGAACCATTATTTTCAAAGCCGTAACATTATGGGATTAAAAGATGCAATGAAATTGACATGTGCATATAGAATAAAAGAGTTGATATCAAGGCACACTGGAATTTATTGTGTCAAGAACAAACGGCTTCCTGGATGAGTCATGACGTGTTGGCACAAACAATCGACAAATATGAAGCTGCCATGAACATGAAAGTTTCCAGCAACACAACACATATGTCGGACAGTAACAGTCAAAAACAATCGACTCGAGAAAACAAACACCAGATGTATAAGAGTAATTGCAACAAAACAGTTTTACCCAAACAGATATGTTTTTCTTGCGGTCACATCGCAAAGCGCTGTACTTGGAAAAGAAGAGATACACTTACGGCCACTAGAAACGTCATGCGTTGCGAAACGAACAAAGAAACACAAAGACCACAACAAAAACAACAACGTCAACAGCAGAGGCAGTCAAAAAAGCAACCGCAACAACATCAGGAACAAACTAATGATGAAATAACAAATTATAAAAGTATTGACAACATAGGCTCCTCAAAATATGATCATAAATCTTCTGGTGAGACTTTACCACCCAGATCGTCCAATGCCGAGAATTTTTCGGAGAGCCTCAAAACTCCTGCGAAACAGCCTAAATAGCCTACGCATATGAGTTAAGCCTCTTTCTTTTCTGAGTTAGAGTCGACATTAGTAAAGTTGGTTATTGTATCGTTGCATTTTCGTTAATTTGATTTACTCGGTTATTTATTTAGTTAGGTTTTAATAAAGAGGAATTATTAATATATCTGTTATTGCGTTCAGTTAATATCAAACCCGTTATCCTTAAGTTTTTTACTGTTTGTTAGGATGTTTCCGTTTTTATCTTTAATAATCCTTGACATATTTTTTTGTTTTCCTTTTAACTGTTTAACCAGCTGGTACGCCTTTCTTGTCAGGGTTTGCCCAATCATCGTTTCTACCTTTTCACATTTACCATTAATCCATTTCCTTTTATCTGTTCTAGCACTCTTTTTTATTTCTTGGCAGACTTATTTGTACATCTTATTTTCTTCTCTCTGTCTTTTTGTTATTTTCTAACTTCTTCTTTCTTCTACAAGGTTCCATGTTTCATCGCTTATCCACGGTTGTATTTTGTTTGTTTTAATTTTACAACTTTCATCTGCTGCTTTGAGAATTTTTTCTAGGTTGCTAACTCTTATTTTTATATCGTAATTGAGTGCTGAGTCCAATTTATGTTCGATTTTATTTTTTATATCCTCCATCTTCTGCTTTATCATTTCTGTATTGTATCTCACTTTTTTAAGCATTCTCCAATTTTAAGCTTTTGTTTTATCTTCATGGTGACGTTGCATAAGACAAGTCAATGATCTGATCCAAGTTCTGCACTTGGGAAAGCTCTACATTGTGTGACAAATTTCATCCATTTCTGTTCTATCAGTATTAAATCTATCATGTTCATTGATTTTCCGTCTGGTGATTCCCATGTACATTTGTTGTTGTTTTGCTTCTTTGTGTTTGTGACATACAATCGTTGGTCCTTCACAAACTCTAGTAATCTTTCCCCTCTATCATTTCTATCTCCTACACCGTTTTTTCCCTTTATTTCTTCAAATCCAATGTTGTCACTTCCAATTTTAGCATTCCAGTCTCCAACAATGATCTTCAAATCAAATCAAATTTTATTCAATCAATCCAAATAAATAATAATTAGGTAATGATTAGGAGACCAAAGCTGAAAGAAAACAAAATTCTTGTGTCGCAGGCCACCGTTCACAAATTGTTCATTCTAACACGATTTTTAAGTAAATTTATAATTCATGACAAAATTAACATAATGCACAATTTACATTATTCTAATTAAATAAAAATTGTACTTTTTTTCAATAAATATTTCTTTATTTTGTTTTTAAACAAATGCAAAGAATTTGACATCTTTTTTTGATAATACTTTCAGTGTTTGTTACAGTTGTTCGTAGAACGTTTCAACTTCACCATCCGAATGATTTGTTGTGGGAACATAAGCAACTATCACAATAATAATTTTTGGATATCCTTTGAATCTGGCATACATCAACCTGTCATTTACCGGATTGTATTCAATTAATGCTTTTCTTGCTTTCTTTCAAAGAATCATTCCCACTCCATGAATATGCTCGGTTTCTGTACCTGACCATAACAATTTTCCGTTCTTTAATTTTCCAATTCCGGTCCATCTAACTTCACACAAACCAATCACATCATATCTAAACCTCTCAAGCTCTTTTTTCAGCATCGTATATGTTCCAACCTTGCCACAGTGACCTCACATTCCGAATTCCAACTGTGAATTTCATCTTCATTTTACCTCTTTGGGACTCAGTAACAAACTTTTCATTGTAGCTCCTAGTTCCCGAAGCTGCAATGCGGTCCTTGTTGTCCCGGGCGACGACCGAACCGTTATAATTATTTGCTGTTGTGTTTACCATCGTGTTTGTAGCGTTTTTAAAACTGTGTAGCAAGCTCATGTAAACCCACCTTCTTTACCCGGACTTTGGACCGGCACCAAACTCTGCTGGATTGCAGCCCAAGTGGTGGAGATAAAACAGCACCAGGCAATCTTAACCGCTATACCATCACGCTGCCCTAAATTGTGTCAAAGATTCTAAGTTGTGTCTAAGATCCTGAATTGTGTCTAAGTTTCTATGATAACTAATGTAAGATGAATGATATTTATTTAATTGTGTATGTAAAAATAAATATTTTTCAGCAATTTTGCACATATTTGGTCAATAAATATCATAAAAATGAAGTGAAAAATTTTTTAAATAGACAAAATCAAATGACCTAAGGTTTTATTCAGTTGAACGAAATGATCAATTTCGGCTGCTTCCCCATACCCAGCAGAATTTTTTCCTCTGACTCTGAACATGTATTTTTTATCTTGATATAAAAATTCCAAGGCAAAGAAATTTACTTTGCCATTAACTCTTGCAATTGGGCAAAAATTTGGTTGTCTGTCTTCTTTCATCTCGATGTAGTACTGAGTTGCCTCGTCAGTTTTGCCATCTTCATCGGTGATTGGAATATCCCATGTTAATGTCATGCAGCTAGAAGTGATGTTAAAAATTCTCACATTCTGTGGAGCTCTGGGTACACCTAAAACATTTGTTTGAACATTAAAATGATTTAATTTATATTTGCCAAATTAATCTGATGTCAAATAAAAACTATAATATTAAAGTGTTAGTTTATTTAATTTATATTTAACTTATATTGAAATAACCATTAAATATAAAAAATAAATGAACAAGTTAGAATAAAAGATAACTGAAAAAAATGTCACTTGTAGAAAAGAAACCTTCGCAAAGACAGCCATTTGAAAATTGCATTGTTCAAAATAATACGCATGTCTTAATTTATGTTTAAATGCTTTTTTAATTATTTTGATGTATATCTCAAGCACGTAAAATCTAATTATACAGATTTTTAACTTTTTTCTCTCATTGCGTTTCACCGTTTTTTGTAATCGTCGTCCATGATGTGTTTTTTGACAACATTCTTTGTGACAAGTTAACACTTCGTTTCAAAATTTTCACATGTATTAACTGTAGGTTTTGCAAATTCTTTTATCCAATTATTACCGGTTTCATGCTTAAACACTTCGAATATACAGAACGATCTTTTTGATAAAATCTTATATCAAATTTTATATCAACATCAGTTTTAATATCAATTAGATTATAGGTTATGGAAGATGTGGTTTCAAATATTTGTGCTGGTCAAAATCTTTTTTCATTTCAAATTCCTAGAAAAATTAATTATCTACAACAATGCATTATATCTTGGTTACTATTATATATTTCCAATAAAATGCAAAACTTTGTTATTAAACACTGGTGGTTTTTAGCGTCAATCTAGAAATTATTTTATTTTGCTTAGATATTAGTCCCTGATGAAAAGCTTATTTTAACAAAGCCAAAAACATATACATCTAAACCGTTCACATTTTTTTGCTCAAATCCATCAATGTAATTTTGAAATTGGCAGCCAATATAAGTCTATCAACCAACTTATCACATGATGATGCCTAAACAGAACCCAAATCATTCGAATTTCTAGGCCCTGAAATCGTTATTTATGTAGTAAGTAGAGTTTTTTATTTTTGGAATAACAATTGGAACATTATTATCTAACGATATATAACAGACTAGAAACATAAACATTTCAACCATGAAAAAAGGTCGAATGGGGTAAATTAACCAAATTATATAGTTGCATGTTTTGATGAGAGCAAAAGTGTGAGCTTTGAAAGTTAAAGACGGGTCAAGAGTAACACCCAGCGGTTTAAGACTTGCTGATGTAGACAGATTTATCTAGTAATTGACATGTTAGAAGGTGTCACATTTTAAGAGTTGCTGTGGTGTGCCAACAAATATTATTTAAAATTTTTGAGCATTTAGCTGAAGGAAACTAAGCAAATGTCAATCTTTTATTGATAAGACACCTGAGTTAAGTCTATCAAATTAAGAAGAGATATTTTGGTGAAAGATTTAAGGCACGACGTTTATATCACCTTTTTATTGATGTAAGGATAAGCCATAATTATTAAAGATGTCAGACTAGTATAAATAGTAAAATGCATTGGTCTTTATACAAAGCTCTAAAGAACTTTAGTAGATTATCAAAAAACTGAAAATCCAGGTTGCCAAGTATAACAAATTAGGGTCAGTCTGGAAGATATGAATTGAACCAAGACAGAGCTGTGTCAAACTCCATTCTAGGAGTATTTAATGATTAATCGTGTCAAAGGCCGCAGATAGGATTAGGCAAATCATAGCAGCACAGCCCAGTTACCACTAATATAGTAAAATTATCATATAAATGGAGAAGAGTTTCGTTGGAAAAGCCAGGGCGATAGATGGACTGGAAAGGTTCAACAATTGTATTAGAAGGGACCTGTATAAGGATTTTGTTTAAAACCAAACGTTCAAGAATTTTAGAAAAAGTAGACAAGATTGAGATGGGGTAATAGTTTGATAGTCCGATGGATCAAAATTAGATTTTTTAATGCGGAAAACTTGGACAGTTTTGAAAATGATAGAAAAAATAGTTTTGCTAAAAAATGATTAGCAAGTTTTGAAATCACAGGAGCAAAGAGTAAAATAATTTTGGAAAAGAACGGTAGGCAAAACGTCAAGTGGATACGTGTTATTTGCAAGAAAGTAGATGAGTTTTTATAACGCTGGAGCCGAACCATCAGGAAAAGCGTTGAATATATTTGTCAAATATAGTCCATGTCTGAAAGCTGTTATGATATTTGTTTCAATGTTGTCTTTGATTGACTGATGTGTGTTATAAATTTTCGCTACGAAATGATTCAAGAAAAAGTTGACAATGATTTAGCACTCATCATCAAAATAGTGTTGTGGCTGACTGACGAGAAAGAAATTGTTGTGGCTGACGAAAAAGAAAGAAGATGTTGAGCGATCGCCAAAAATCACGAAGATTACTTTTAGATTGAAGAAAGAGGATGTTGAGCGATTAGATTGAAGCTTTTCTTTAATAGAGTCAATTTTGGATTGCATAATTAACCTTTTAGCAATCTCTTTAGCCTTTTTGTTTTCAATATTACTGATTTTTGGGACGAAACGTTTCAACTGTTTTTTTTAAACGGTGACAAGTCCGAATCGCATTAATTGCGCTAATTGAAAATTGATCTTTTGGACAAGCTCTGCCTCGTACAAACGTCTATAAAGTGCATATTTGTTGAGAAGATTGGTTGTTGATGTGAGGATGGCAGAGGTAAGGTTGTCCACGCCATAATCATTATGCGAAAGTAAATCATCAGAGAGCTCTTATTGAAAAGATGTTGGAAACGACAATAACTATGACGCTGATGAACAATAATTGGAGGCGAGGTTTTCATAATGTCGTTATTGAAAACCACTAAGCTGTGTTTAGATGATCAGATTTCGTAATCAATTTTCAAAATGTTAAATTATAATTTTTTTATTTTTCTATCAATAAATGACTAAATTGCTATCAAAAATCACCTATGTTTTGCATTCCGCCAAACAACCGTTTTTCATTAAAAAAAATCTGAATAGGAATGTATCTGATTGTGGCGTGGACGACCTTATACGCAAGACAATATTGAAAAGAGAAAAAAAAATAAACATGCAGAGTAAAAAGAGTTACATGTGAAAATGGAATATTGAATTTAAAAAATAATTAATGAATAATGATTGAATAAAAATAATTCATAGTACGTTCAACAGAGAAAAAAATTTACAAAGGCAAACAAATGGCTATGAGTATCAATATATTTTAGGTGTCTTGGATGAAAGTTTTATTATGATAGGTTGATTGAGTAGTGATTTGATAGTTATGTTCAAATTGACAAAGGTTGTGTGTGGTTAGGGTTAGTAGTTCTGATTAGGGATTGTGAAAAGTGGGTGTATAGTATTTATTTCTTTTTTTAATAGTTTGAAAAATTGAGTGTATTGAATATTTGTGTGACAGTAGAAAAGATGAGACTAGATGTTTGACGCGAAATAATTTTTTTGACGAATGAGTGTAGTTGTTGAAATCGCCGTTGTGTATCGAAGCCAGACCAGAAAGAAGTTGCATATTAGATGTGTGAGATTATGAGTGATTTTGTAATATCAAATAGTTTTATATCTTTGAGACCATGTGAGCGAAGTGTTTTGAGCGTGTGCATCGTTTGTTTTAGTTCTTTCATGATGACATGGTTTTTGTGAGGTGCAATGTTGAGTGAGTTATATAAACTAACGTCGCCAGTTTTAACGTTTGATATGTTAACTTTTTAGAGATTGTTACGCATGTTTTTAGACGATGATAAATCGGTTTTACTACCTAGTTTAGAATCGATGTCTTTCGAAAGGTTTTTTCTTGGCCCAATGTTAACTTTAGAATTTTATAATGTAGGGCTCAACAAACCCTGACACTCACCGTTTGGTTTCTTTCATAAAAACCCATTTACGCCTATTATTAGTATTGATAAGGTATTTTGATAAAGTTTTAAGTGATGGCAAAAGATAACCGGCAATTCGATGAAACTAAGAAGATAGAAAAATCTGAGCAGGGAAATGTTGAGAAACGTTCGATTTATTATTGTTTCGCCTTTGTTGTCGAATTATAAATTGGACAATTTAAAACGATAAAACAATTTTATTAAATTAAACAAAACCAACAAGAGTTATGTGATGTGAACGGAAAAAGGAAAAATTGAAGTTAAAAGTAAAGCAAAAAAAAAGTAATAATAAATTAAATTTAAAACATAGATGCTAGAATTATCAAAAATGTTTAATGTTCTATTATAATAAAATATTCATTTAGTTCCCTACAGGAATTTATATACAGGGTAAGGGGAGTTTTTTGAAAAGTAAAAATTATAAAATTATTAGTAAGGAGAGGCCTTTCGACTTAAAAATTTTATCCTCTAATGTGGATAGTGTGGCAAACAAACTGAATAAAATAAAAATTCTTGTAGATTTATATGGTCATGATTTTATGCTGTTCATTGAAACAAACCCTAAATATTTGATTGATAAAATTTCTTCTTCTGAATTTGTTATAACTGGTCATTAAACTTTTTCAGTAAATTTTATCAAAAAGGGCTATAAGGGTCAGAGATGGGCAGTGATGTAATTCAAGTAATGAAATTACGTAATTCAAATTACAGTTGTAATTTGTATCGAAATTACTTTTAAAGTAATTGGTAATTTGTAATTTAGTAATTTCATCTTTCATGTAATTTGGTAATTTCAAAGTAATTTCAAATTACATTTTAACTAACAAATATAGTTTATTTGTGAGTGAACAGATATACATACGCAAATTATTATTATTATTATAATTGAAAAAAATTTTTTTTTTGACATTCTAAAATTTTTTAAATTTTAAAAACTTATCTGATTAAAAATTTCATTTACTACTTTGAAGTTTTAGGGACATATAGCTTTTCACTTTTTTAAAGTTTATTTCTTTGATGTTTGATGCTTCTTTTTTTCTTTCTTTCTTTCTTTCTTTCCTTTTTTCTTTTTTTCCTTTTTTCTTCAGTCGTTCATTAAACGATTGAACAAATTGATGATCGAAAGAAAGTAAATTTATAAAAGAATATGAAAATGACATCAAAGAATGTGCAAAATGGTGAATAGTGTCGTTCTTTTTTCAGTTATTAGTTAAATGATTAAACAAATTGTTGATAGAAAGTAACTTAATAAATGAATATAAAATGACATTAAAGAATACCAGCGCAAAGAAAAATCAATGTTTAAATAACTTCAAAAAAAATTTTTTTCTTCATTTAATTGGCCCATGGTATTGTTAAGTTTGTGTCTGTAGATATTGGTAAGATTGATGATTATAAAATTGTTGGAGTTTAATTGATTCAGTTTAGTTTTGACATTCATTAACCATAAAAAGTTTAAATCAGGATAATAATTTATCAGATTTCATTGCAAAGTCAGCTATTTTGGATGGAAAATACTGGTTTGATGTAATTTAATTTCATGTAATTTGAAATAAGTAATTTTTAATTAGTAATTTGGCTCATTCATTAAATGTAATTTGTAATTGGTATCGAAATTACAATATTTAGAGTATTTTGTAATTTGTATCGAAATTACAATATAATGTGTAATTTGCCCATCTCTGATAAAGGTGTATGTTGTTATATAAAATCTTTCTTTAATTGTTGTGTTGCAGATGGTAGATCTTTCAGTTGTGTTTGTTGAATATTTATGTGTTCAGATATCATGATATTTAGAAATTTTTAACATCTTATTGGTTTATCGTAGTCCTAATATAATTTGTTATCTTTCCTAAAGGCTTTTTCAGGAATTAAAGGATTTAAATTATGGGTTGGAAATTTCAATCTATCTGATATAGATTGTGATCTTGTAAAAACATTTGGAGGTGTTAAGAATTTTGAGACTAAGTTCTTGAATTGTGTGAAAGACTTTTATTTATTTTAAATGATATCTAAGCCTACTAGACATCGATCATGTCACAAATCTACCATATATCAACAAGACAAAAAGCTTGCGTATAGTTTTGATTACAACTTTCCTAAAAGAAATAGTGATCACATTTGTCATGTTTTCGTTGTTAAATATAAATGTTAACACTGAATTTAATACTGTATAAGCGAGTTTGGTAATATTAATACTATCGATCTTGAAAATTTATGGGTGTATTTTACTTCTGTAATGTTAGAAGCTATAAACAAGGTCATACCTTACATGATAAGTCATATAATATGATTAGTAAAGAGGGTAAAGGTAATAATAAATCTCATGTTACTTTCCCTTTGTGTTTGAAAAATTTGATAAGATATAAAAATAGAATATAGAAAAAATATGTAATCACAAAAAGCTGTTTATTATTTAATTGAATTTAAAGGGCGCCGCGGTAGCACACACACCCGTATCATGTCAGCTACTTTACTCCGTTCTGTTAAAAAGAGTGATGTAATCTTAATATTTACTAAAGATCTCATTATGGGTATTGTAGTGTTAAGTAATCCTTTAAAACTTGCACTTAATTTTTTATTTTATATTACGATTCACTTTTAAACAGTCTGTTTAATAGACCTAAATTAATCTCGTGTATTGTGTTGTGTTAAATAAAAGCCACAAAAATACAAATTATTTTTAAATTAAAACATTAATTATTGTTTATACTATAAAATATTAATTAAACAACAATAAACCATTATTATCGCAACAAAATGAAGAGAACAAATTTTTTACAACCACAAAGTAGTTTGGATTCTTTTTTTTATTTTTTTATGATGTTGAAGAAAAAAAAGTCAGTTGAAACATCTACAACTATTCCTACTGTTATTATTGAAGTTACTGGAACCACTGAACTTTCAACCACAACAGCAGAAATGTCGGCAAGTATTAGTATTTCTACTCAACATGTTGAACATGGGATAACAGAAACACATGATAATATGGACAGCAACAGCCAGAATATGAATGACATTTCAGTAGTCGTAGTTCATGATAGTCCTTTTTCTGAAAATGAACAGATTTCAACTGAGCCTGCAACAGCTGAAGTTGCTAAAACATTTTCTAGTAAGATTTTAAATGCTGGGTTTATCAATGATATTGGAAAATTTGTTGGAACATTTATTGATGATTTAACAAAAAAAATTGTTAGAATCGTCATGGAAGCCATCAGCTGACTACAAAATGCTGCATTCATTTCACAAAAAATAAAAATAAACATTCATAAAAATAAACAAAAAAATCGATATCTTAATCATTCTCATCTGGAAAAATACGAATGATTAGTTTATTGTTTATTCAGATAATAAAAAAGGACTGTACTGCAAAAATTGTTCATTATTTTTTTACTACCTGACAAACAAGTAGAACTTCAGAAGCTGGTTAAACAACTATTACAGGTGTTTGCTAAACTGTTTGGCAAACATGGAGATTTAACAATGCATGACAAAGCAATATACCACAAGGAAGCTGTTGAAGCAGGGAGGTGTTTTTTAAAAAACTATAATGAACCAGCAATAAATATTGTAAACAGAGTAAATTCCCAACGGCTTCAGCAAGTTTCAGAGAATCGTCAGCGATTGTGGAAACAGTTATATTTTTAGGAAGACAGAATATTCCTTTAAGAGGACACAAAAATGATGGCAGCTTATTAGGCATAGAAGATGAAGATTCTGATGTGATTTAATTTCCGTGTATTGCTAAAATTTAGAGTAAACAGATGGGATTCAAATTTAGAAAATCATTTAAAAACAGCAAGAGCATCAGCATCTTATATTAGCTAAACCACACAAAATGCGTTAATTAAATTCCGTGGAAAGGAAATATGTGACGAAACAACCGGTACATCACATAAGTAATAAATGACTATAATATTACGTTGCTTGGTGCCTGATGGATCATTTCGAAAAGATTTTGCAGGATTTGTTGATTTCTATGACAAAATTATCAAACTGATTCTACTGCATCAATTGACACTGAACCTTTTCTTGACGGTAAAATTATTGGTCAATCGGTTATAAACATGTTGCAAACAAGTTCCATCTTTCTCTAGAAAACTATGTTGGTGTGGTAACAGATGGTTGCAGTGTTATGTCGTCGTTACAAAAAGAAGCAGTAGTTGAAACTCAAAAAGTTGAAGTGAAGGCTGTCCGGTGTTTTTGTTATAACCATGCTTTAAATTTAACTTTATCAAAATGTTCGAACGTACAAAAGCAATAAGAAATTGTTTGGGTGTTATTAGTGAAGCTGTTGTTTTTTTAATGCTTCTGCAAAACGAAATTTTATAATAAAGAACTGATAAATTCACAATTGGTTTCACTCTGCAAAACACGATGGGTTGAAAGACATGTGCATTGCTGATATTTAGTGTTGAACTTCCACAAATAATTGATGCGCTAGAGAATATATCTAAACAGAATGACAGAACAACTTCATCAAAAGCAAGAACTTTGTTATCAGCAATTAGATAAAGTGATTTTATTGTGTCTTTAGGCTGTGCTGTGAATGTATTCTCCCTAACAAAGGGCCTAACAAAGTAAATTTGTTTCTTATTGAAGATTTTTCCTTATTCCTTTTTTGTCTTTTTTTTCAGAAGGGGGATCGCCCCCCACTATGGATCCACCATTGGTTAAAAAGAAGTAGATGTCTGAGGTGTGGCAATTGATAAAGGTAAACAAATTGATGTGATTAATACTGATTTTGACAAGGTTTTTGATAAGTTCCCTCACTCTAGTTTGATTAAAAAACATTTCTGCCAACGGTGTGTATTGGCATATTTTTGATTGAATTTCAGGTTATTTTAAGAATAGACTTTTGTGGTTAGGTTCCAAAGAGAAGTGATTTGGGTCCTGTGTTGTTTGTTAATTATGTGAATGATCTTATTGATATTTGTAAATTGGATTCTGGGATTGGCCTTGATATTTATGCTGATGAAGATATTTAAACATGTTTCATGTAATGAGAATAGGATGATAATACAAGCTTGCTTGAAAGATTTGTATGATTGGTGTTTAAAATTGAAACTGAGAATGAATGTTGATAAATGTATCTCTATGTATTTTGGACATGCAAATGACTTTGTTAATACTTCGTTTAAAATCAATGGTTTTGCTCTGGATAAAGGTCTTGTTTGAATCTGCTATGAAATTTTATAAACATATTTATACAAACAAATTTTTCTGAAGAGACCTAACGACAAACGAACAAGGAGAATCCAATTAATTTGTCTACTTATTATTTTAAAACAAGTCATAGAAAATTTAAATTTTCAAAGAGAGTGGTGTGTGTGTATATATATATGTGTGTGTGTGTGTGCGTGTGTGTGTGTGTTCATTATATTATGCGTCACGATAACGTTAGATAACCCACTACGCTAATTTAAATATTTCACGTTGTAATGATAAACAAACTTTGAGGAGCTTTGCATAAAATTGCTTCTCCTAATTCTACGGATTTTTTAGAACATCCAGCTTCATTGACCGCAAATATTCGAAAAAAAAAGTATTCTCCTGTTTCTAAACCTTTCACGTCCGTCATATTTTCTGTGCTTCCTACCTGTTTAGCGAAAATATAAAACCGGATTAAATTTTTTAATTGTAATTTTCAAGCCAAAACCAACCAAAATCATATAAAAAAAATTAAATTTATATAACCAATTTTTTGCTTTAAAAAAATTTCAATAAAATTGAATGGTCAAATAAACAAAACTTAACTAAGTATAGCATATTACCTCAGCACAAGCAATCCAGTTACTGCATCCACTTTTACAAGATTCAATAAGATAATTTGTGATTGGAGACCCACAATCAAATTTAGGTGGCCTCCATGCTAATTGGACCGATCCATCTGAAACATTAACCAAATGGAAACTTGATGGAGGTAGTGGAGGTTCTGAAATAAAAATTATGGAAGCTGTATTTCAGATTTGTTTTTATTTTTTATATTTAAATCTTATTTAAGTCTAAACAGTTCTATAAAAATTGTTTCTCATCAATACTCAAAAAATATTTAAATAGATCGGTAAACATTTGCTTTTGTTTCACAAAAAAACGTTGTTGAACGGACTATCGTAGATAAAGCAGCGAGATGAGAAATTGTATCAAACCAAAAAAAAAAGTGGAAAAGAAGATGCAAAAAAAAAACAAAAAAAATGCCGACAACATCAGAATAACAAAAAATTAAGTATAAAAACTGCCAAAAATTAATGAAAACTAATAAAGCAAATAACATTTAAAAAATACAAATTTATAATAACATTATTATCAATCAATTCCTTTTATTATCATTATAATATACATATTGATAAAAAAAGTTCAAATAAATATTTTCTAGGAAAATAATTGATTTAAAATCAATATTATGATTTGTTTGAAATAATTTATTATTTTATAAAATTTCGCAATTGAATGGGTATTGAAAAAACACTAATAAGTGTGAAAACAGTTAAAAAAATTTATGAGAAAGTATATTTATATTTATGTTGAGATTTGAAATTCGGTCTGTTGATAGTGATTGAAGACTATATTAAAAGAAAAGCTGATCAAATAAAATGTTTGGATAGCAACTTAAAAGAAAGTTGTTATAGAAATGCAATAAGTTCAACGATCAGTAGTTACGCATTTATGTAAACGTGATTTGTGGAGAATAGTCAGTAGAATTGTGATCTATAAAAAATTGGGTAAAAGTGCAAACAGGAATTCAATAACAATATGTTTACGGAGAGACCGTAAATAAGATTAAACTAATTTAAAAAATTATAGTGACAAAAATTTGTTCTAAATCAAGCATACCAAAAGGCAGTCGAGCTCTGACAGGTGGTCTTATCTCAGCACTTTGTTCACTAAGGCCAGCTTCATTCTGAGCAAAAACTCTGATGTAATAATCGTGGCCTTCAACCAAATTTGTTATCTGCAAAAAATATAGTTTGCTCTGCATTACCATTAAAAATAAGGACAGCTAAAAAGAGTCAAAATAAATTATTAACCTTGTATTCCAACCGCAGAGGTTCAACAAAACCGACAAATTTGTATCCAATCTCGAAAGCATCCCTAATTTCAATAAGGTACCTTTGCAACGCACAGCCTCCATCTTTTTCTGGTGGATTCCATTTTATTATGATGTAATCTTTCCAAATACTTGTAACAGTTACATTTAGAGGTTTAGTGGGTTTATCTAAATTAAAAATATAATATTTATGATGCGCCAAAACCACCAGTAAACGAAGTTATTAAAATTTCAAAAAATGATAAGTTTCTAGTAAACCAATATTAGAATTTTATACATATTATACGCTACGGGCATCACATTTTGTAATGTTATTGGGTTTTATTGATGATTATAGTGGTAGTAATAACTCTAATATAAAAGTAATTTCGGTTTTTTGTGAAAATTAAAAACAATTTTCTTATAATGAATAAATATTTTATCAAATTAGATATTGGCCATTTTGGTCTTACATTTTTTGCTCATCTTTTTTTAGTACCAAAATTCTACACTCATAATTTTTGGTCTTTGCTAGCAAAACAAGAGCAGCAGCAAAGAAGTCTGAGAAAGCTGTTATGGAACCTGATGATTATGGCCTCAAACTGTGTGAAAAATGTCGTGCTGAGAACTGTTCAGTCTTAGCTGGCTTGGTCGAAGGGCTGAAGGATACACCTAAGCTTAAAGACGAACTGTCCGAAATTAATAATAATATTAATGTGCTGAAACTTTTAATCGAGGATATTCAAAAGAAGGAATTTCAAATTAACACACAGTTAGATGATTTGAAGAAATTGAGCAGTGACGTTGAATTTTTGAAGCAGTCCTCATTGAGTGGTTCTGCAGAAGTGGAAAAAGTCAGAAAATTCTCAGACCTGTTCTCTAATAAAGTAGATAATATGGCTTGTGATTTAAAGACAGTTGTTTGTTCTGTTGCTGCAACCGACGGCAGAATTAACCTCAACAACGAAAGAAATTTGAGGAAAAACAATATCATTATTTTTAATATAACTGAGGATAGCCAGTTTTCCAGAAATAAGGACAAAGAAGCAGTGCTTAGGTTGCTAAAAGTTTTGTTACCTGATTTTGATTTTTCGAAGGAAATATCTGATTGGTTTAGGTTAGGTAAGAAACCTGAGATAAATCAAAGGCCCAGACCTGTTGTGATAAAATTTTGTGATTTTGCTGTTAAAAATCTAGTTTTAGAAAATTGTTCTAAATTGAAAGGAAATGTTGAATACAAGAAAGTAATACTATCAAACGACCTGGTCAAAGAAGATAGAAATGAATGTAAAAAATTAATTGAAGAAAAAAAGAAAAGTTTAGCTGCAACTGAAGATACTAATAAGTTTGTTTTTATAATTAAAGGTCAACCTGGGGACTTCCATGCTGTTGCCATCAGAAGGAGAAATTTTTAGATAGCAGTAAGTCAAGTATGTCTGTGTTAGCAATGAATAACATTTTTACAATTTTGTATGCCAATGTTGACACTTTAACAAATAAATTTGGTGAATTGGGTATGCTGCTAGATACATTCAATGACCCTCCTGAAATGATTTTTTTAAATGAAGTAAATCCAAAATTTTGTAAATTTCCTCCCTGTATATCTGAATATCAGCTAAATGGTTTTCAAGTGATCTCAAAGGATTTTGGTGTAATTGGCTGCAGAGGTTTGCTTGTGTATTTTAGAGATTATCTGCATATCATAGAATTAAATTTGTCTTCAACTTTTCAAGAGTTTATCTGTGTTAAACTGTCATCTAATAACAGAGATATCAATTTTCTATCTCTGTATCGTAGTCCAGGAAGTTCAGACTTAAATAATGATTCTTTAATGCAGCTGCTGGATGAATTTTTGGAGCTTCCTGGTTTACATATCTTCCTTGGAGATTTGAATTTTCCAGAGATTGATTGGAACATTTTTTGCTCAGGTGGACTCCCATCAAGGATTGATAACAGGTTTTTGGATTTTCTTAATGATCATTATCTGATGCAACACGTCAATGAACCCACAAGAGCTCGCAGTTCGCAGCAGCCTCATATTCTAGATCTGGTGGTTTCTGATATTGACATCGTCAGGAATATTATTTACATGGCTCCTCTGGGTAGCAGTGATCATAACACTCTCTCTATTGAACTGTTTATATCAGGCAGGAAGACAATTACAGTTAATAAAAAATTCTGTTATGATATTGGTGATTATGCCAAAATGAGATATGATCTTGACAATGCTGTGCATGATCTGTTAAATTCCTGTTCAGAGTCTTCTGTGGAACAGTTATGGATTGCTTTGAAAGAACTGCTTTTGAAACTAACTAAAAAATATGTTCCTTTGAGAAAAACAGGTAGGGGACGTACATTTAAAATGATTCCAGAGTTGCTTAGATTAATAAAATTGAAACATGTTTATTGGAAGCAAACCTACAAATATGGTATAAATTCGTTGGTTTTGTTCAGATCAACAAGAGATAAAGTGAGAAGGTTATCTAAACAGCTGCATATTCAAAGATTGGATGAGATTGCCAGAGATTTTAATACAAATCCAAAATTATTCTGGAAACGAGTAAACAGTGTTAGTCATATTAAGGATAAAGTTGGTTCCTTAATCTATGATGGCAGACATGTTTCTGATAAGGATAGGGCTGAGATTTTTTCGGAGTATTTTTCATCTGTGTTTGTTGATGATTTGCCGTTTACAGATGATGTTGAATTTAATATTCCTTGGATTTCAGATAATGGTATGTCGGAATTGATCATCGATAATAAAACGGTCCTTAAGAAACTCGGGGACATTAACCGAAATAAATCATCTGGCCCGGATGGAATTCATCCTAGAATTTTGTATGAAACTAGGTTTGAATTGTCTGGAGTCTTGAGTGTGCTTTATAATTTATCCTTGGTGAATGGTGTTATTCCTAATGATTGGAGATCATCTTTTGTGGTACCTATACACAAAAAAGGAAATAAAAGTCTGCCTTCCAATTACAGGCCTATTGCATTGACTCCGATTTGTTGTAAGCTAATGGAGTCAATTATTGCTGACCATTTAAAAGATTATTTTATAAAGAATAATTTATTCACAAGCCGACAATACGGGTTTTTGCCATTTCGATCAATCACACTGCAGCTTTTGAAATTTATAGATGAGATAACTGCTTCAGCGGAACTTGGTAAAAGCATAGATGTCATATATACTGATTTGGAGAAGGCCTTTGACACAATTTCTCATTCCAGATTATTGTTTAAATTACGGAAATATAAAGTCCATGATAACTTAGTAAGATGGATTGAAGGTTACCTCAATGAAAGATCATTCCGTGTTGGTGTAAATGGTCATATGTCTAGTGCTAAACCTATCACAAGTGGAGTTCCTCAGGGAGGAGTGCTCAGTCCTCTTTTGTTTGTGATCTATATCAACGACATATACTCAGTTTATAGCGATATTTTTTTATATGCCGATGATGCAAAGATATATGGTACGTTATCTGAACTGCCTGATGGTGCAGTGTTGCAAAGTTCCTTAAACAATATTATGTTATGGTTTCGGAAATGGAGTCTTAAAGTCAACGTTAGTAAATGTAGCTTGTTGTCAATTGGTAAATGTTTTCCAATGAACTATGAAATTGTTGATTCGAATGATGTTGCTCATATCTTACCAAGAGTAAAGAGTATGCATGATCTAGGCGTGATCGTAGATAGTCAACTTACTTTTAAAGAGCATGTTATGACGCAGATAAAAAAATCAAACCGTATGTTGGGAATTTTATTCAGAAATTTCAAGGACCTGTCGGATGATGCGTTCGTTTGTCTCTATAAATCTTTGGTCAGATCACGTTTGGAATATGCTGTGCAAGTCTGGTGCCCATATAGAANAGGTTTATCTGGTGAATTGGAAAAGGTCCAAAGAAGAGCTACCAGAATCCAAAGTCATGTAAAGGTTTAGATTATAAATCTAGATTGATAAAATTAGATCTGCCATCTTTGGAATATAGACGAATCAGGGGCGACTTAATTTTAACTTATCAAATTCTCCATAATTATGTGGATCCTTCAATTTCCCCATTGTTAGATCGTCGTGCGGACAATGGCACCAGAGGTCATCATCTCAGTTTACAGACTCGTCTTGCAAGGAAAGATTGCAGAAAATATTTTTTTTCTAATCGAGTCGTGAATCCTTGGAATGCACTGCCCGTTGACGTTGTAGATGCTCCATCTATGAAGACATTTAAAATTAAACTAGATGACTTTTACGGTGATAAAAAATTTGTGTCAGCTTGATTAATTATTAAATAATTGCTTAAATTTTAATTTCGTGTTTGGTCGTTTGGTGTAGACATTGAACAATAATTTATACGACTTTAATTGTTTCACATCCTTTATTTTTGAAAACGTTCTTTTATTTTGTCATTGTTTTTAGTTGGGGCAAAGGGCTCTGCCCAGGCCTTTTTGATAATAAAAAAAAAAAAAAAAAAAAAAAAAAAACTATGATCCAGGTAATTAATGACGTCATTCCTTTGAAGTAAAGGTTAACCGTCTAAAAAAATTTGCAGATTTGGAGAAAATGTGGCAGTGTATCCTATTCGAGCTATATAAGATTTTGGCCAGTGACCAAGCTTGTATGAGGTCTCACAGTATCTTTGGTCGTCAAGAAAGCTAAAGAGTTTTTGTTGTTTTGCTTTTATTAAATTTATGTGTCTAAGTTGTAATGAATATCGCTGATAAATGTTTTATAACTATTATTATTATATTATGTTATTTTTCATAAATATTATGTCATCACTGTACTTATTTATAATGAAAAGCAATAATGACTAGCTATTATGGTTATGATTTCAATTAAAAAATTATTCTCTATTTATTATTGATTTTTATGCACTTGATGAAAAATGAAAGTATCGTTCCCATTATTAAATTATTACAGTATTAGTAGCTATTGTTGTTATTGTTAGCAACAATACAACTATTTTGATAAATAATCCTGGCTTTTTCATCTGCATTTTTCATTCTCGTTTGCATCTTTTGCATCTTCCGGTTTGATCAGCTGATAACATCAAACATCCGAATTAAATTTTGTGTTAATAAAAGCTCAAAGAAAGGATTTCTTTTAAATCCACCCAAAAGACAGCATCACTTTTTTGATTGATATTGGCTTAATGGCTTTTAAAATGCTTTAAGCCGGTTCATCATTTTTATCCATGATCCCTTGCATTTGACATTGTTATATACAATCCATTTTTTGTCATTTTCGTGATGCGTTTAAGATGCGAACACAGACGTCGACGTGACGACACACATTTTTTTCTATGAGAACATGGAGAACCCATATATTGAGCTTCGAAATTAAAACCAGGCCTTAAAATTTGTCATAAGCAGTTGAATTTAACCTCACACCGATCTACACCGGTTAGCATCAATTAATTAATTCCTTTATCAATTTCAGCCAGCCTTCCAGAACGTGATGAAACTTCGACTTCAAAATTGCTGGGATTAAATTTTACAAACCAGTTCTGGCACTGGCTTACTGTCAACACATAATCCTCATATACATCCTTTTAACCTTTTACTATAAAAGTATAATATAACAAAATGCTGCTTAATGCTTTCCATATTTAAAAGAACACAAACCAAAAATTACTGCATAGCATAGTTTTAACTGAATTTTTTCACATATAAACTTTGCTTTATCAGCTATCGAAATTTATAATGATTATGTGGCGTGGGAATTTGAGTTCGAAAAAATGCAATTACGTCATCTATCGTAAAAAACAAATTAGTTTCCGAACAACCTTAAATTAATAACGTTTTAATTTATTATAAATTAATTTAATTTTAATAACGTTTTTTATTTAAAAAAAATTATGCACTTTTAGTATGCTGCTAAACAAAAAAATGTGATAAATTTTTATGTCAGACGCGTGGCATTATGCCTAAATTTTTTTAACATTTAACCAATTTTTAAAATTAAGATAGGATGCTATTTCTTACGACTGTTATATATTCAACTATTGTCATGTTTCAATTGTTTTTTGATATTTTTAACGTCATAAACTAAAACGAATTTTTTCCACATTTTTCACTGTTATTAATTTGCTGTATTATTTTATGTTTTCATCAACTATCATAAGCACAATACTGCCTGGAATGAAAAAATTCTGTCAATTCTGTGCATATCTTTAATTTTTACATATACATTTCTCTTTTTAACCCTTTTATGGAATTTACCAACTAAATAGTGGCATCCTTACAACGCGCGCGCAAAAAAACAAAGATGTTTTTATTCAATAAGAACTCGATTTGGGAGTCAATAAATGTTTGCAGAAATTTGACTCGAAAAATTTTCAGTTAAAATGTCGGAGTCGGACAAATTTTCATCTGTTATCACAATACCTGCCATTGCTGTTGAGCTTCGGTTAAATGGTTTCATGTACAAAGAAAAGATGAATAATAATATGATGGCAGTAAAAGACACGAACGGAATATAATGGATTAAGACTGCCACAAATGCAATTGATGAAAATCTCAGCATGTTCGGCATTAGTTAACTTATATATATTGGTCGTTCCAAAATATATATATATATATATATATATTTTGGAACACTCACACACATATATATATATATATATATATATATATATATATATATATATATATATATATGTGTGTGTGTGTGTGTGTGTGTGTGTGTGTGTAAATACTTATGTATGTACGTTAATTTGTATATACGTAAGTGTAAATAGTATATGTGTATGTGTATATATGGTGATAATGACACTTGTGTTAAGTATCAAAGATAGATACACTTCACACATACGTTTTGTATAACACACATATGCACACATATTGACATATACATGTATGCATGTGTGTGTATGTATGGACGTGTATACATTGAACTAACTTTTTTTTATTCAAATCTTCTGAAGTAATTAGTTAAAGCTGTTTGCTTGACTTTATCAACGTGGACCCCAGGGAGACTCAACTATGGTCATTAAATAAACATAGGGGGGTACATACTCACACACGTACATATGTGCAAACAAAAAAAACAAAAAAAATTTTTTCATTATGAAAATTTTTGAAAATTAAAAATTTAATTTTGGGCGGTTTTTGATAAACGCGCTTGAATCCGCATCCGCGGCAAACCGCACAGACAAAATCCGCAAACCGCAATATCCGGGGAGTTTTGATAAATTTTTATCTGCAACCTCGGTTGCATTGCGGCAATTGAGGTTTGAAACCGCATTGCAGATATCCGCTTGGGGCTCAAGTTTGTTAGGAGAAAGATTACTAACATTTAGGTCAACTTTCGCAAGTCTATTCTGGACACGTTGACGAGAAGCTAAAAGGTAAGAAGTTAGACTAGATAGAACAGTAGTCGTGACGTGAAAAGACAAGACAAAGAGCCAGAGCAGACGCAATATCAACAGAAAGTAAATGACGAATGTAACGGATGGTCCTGATATGGTAATTGCAACCTTTTATGATAGCTGAAACATGAGAGTTGAAAGTGAGAGACGGGTCAAAAGTTATACCTAAGATTATGAGTTTGGAGGAGAGAAGAGTATCTGAGTAGGAGATGATAATTTGATGAGTTGCTATGGTGTTCCAAGAAACATGATCTCAGATTGATTATTATTATTAATAACTATGATTAATAATTATTTTAATTATTTCAAAAAAATAATTATCAAAAGTGTCTAGTTTTTTAATAAATTTTTAACAAAATTAAAATCAATACGTAACGATACCACTCAACTCATTTGTTACAATAACTAATTTAACTAGTATAGGTCTTCATCATTTTGTTACAATTATATGCATCATTTTTGAAGCCACTATAATTTGCTCAGAACAAAGATTTCTTAACCTGTTAACATTGAAATGTTCCATTGCAAATGCATTAACATTTAAGACTCTTGAAAGTTTTTTAAGCATTCTGACCGTGTCAATTTTTGTTAAAAATTGCCCGATTTAGAGGTTAATTTAATAATAAGTAGCCTAAACACATCTATTTTATACATTAAACAAATGTGTTAAATAAAAACTAGCCATATGGCAATTTTGCAGTAACAGGTTTATCTGTTTCAGCTTGAACTCCTCTTCCGCAAATATTTTCAGCAGATACACGAAAAAAATAAGTTTGACCATCGAAAACATTTGTTACCCTGAATTGTGTTACTTCTGGATCTTTGTAATATGAATTGATTTTGTTACAAAAATACATAATGTATCATACTTAAAATCAGTTTAACATCAAACCTGTTTTTCCAACAGTGGTCCATAAATTAAAATGAATGTCTCTTTTTTCAATTATGTAGTTTGTGATGGGTGAACCTCCATTAAATTCTGGTGCAATCCATCTCAATGTTACATGATCAACGCTGTAATCCAACACTTGAAGATCTCTTGGAGCAAGGGGGGGGTCTGTTCGATAATTAATATTTTAAAATCATAAAAACCAGGTTTTTATCAAATAATTAATAAATTGATTTAAATAAATTTCTTAGAATTAAAAAATTTAAACTAATAACTCATAATAAAACTTTCACTAAATTTTCTAAAATTGATATATTTTATAACAACTAAATTTTTTAATCTATTAATAAATATTGTAAAAACAATAAAACTACAAACCGAAAGGCATTCTAGCTTTGCACGGTTTTTCAAGCTGCACCGCTTCTTTACTTCGTCCAACGGCGTTAACAGCGAACACCCTTATGACGTACTCAGCTCCATCAAACAATTTGTCAATCGTGTATGAGAGCATGTTAGCTGGCACATTTGCTTAAATTAAATTACAATGAAATTGTTAAATTATTTTTTCAAAACTATTTTCATTTATCAACTCGCCGGCTTCAGCATTAAAAGGCCAGAATTTTAGCTTTGGGTCGGGATTAGTCAAAAAACTATTTTGCGAATTGCGTTATATAAATAATTACTGTTGTCACGATTCTATAATTTTATGTATTATGAGCAATAAATCAAAATTCTTGTGTGGGACCAAGGAATAGGAATAAGTTATTAATTTCAAGAATCGAATTTTGTTTCATTTTTTTGTTCATGTTTAAAAAAAACTTGAAAAGATTTTTATTAAATTTTCACGTATAAAGGTTAAATATAACATATTATTACTATAATTTTATAAACATTATTTTTATTTTGTTTTACTTTTTGATAGCCAGGCTAGATAAATTTCATAAACTTAGCATCAAACTTGTAGCATCTTCTGTTTTTTGTCACAACATAAACTTGGGTATAATAATAAGAATGTTTGGTTGGAAATAAAGAGCTTCAACATCATTGACATTCCCTACGGTAATGGTAATAGAAACATCTGATGCACTCACAGCAAAAGTTTACTATTAATGATAAAATTAATAATGGTAATAGCAGAGATGGGCAGTAATGTAATTCAAGTAACGAAATTACGTAATTCAAATTACAATTGTAATTTGTATCGAAATAACTTTTTAAGTAATTGCTAATTTGTAATTTACTCTTTCATGTAATTTGGTAATTTCAAATTACATTTTGACTAAAAAATATAGTTTATATGTGAGTGAACAGATATACTTACACAAATTATTATTATTATTATTATTATTATACCCCCTCGCCTCTGCTGTTCAATTTGTGCTTCAACCCCTTAATACTGGAAAAGCCTGAATATCAACAATGCGGCTACATTTGGGAACCTACAGCCAACTTGAAAACGAGAGCATGGATACAGTTTGCCGATGATACGGCAATTATTACTAACAGCACGGAAAGTGCTCAAAAGTTGATCGGTATCAACCAGGCTTGGTGTAACAAAACTGGTATGCAAATAAGATTAAATAAATGCTCATCATTCGGCATGAGGAAAGAAATGGTGACCATAGACGATGGAACTATTCCTCAAGTCGAAATAGAGGGGCACTTCATATACCAGGACAAAATATACGACTTTGAAGAAAAGGGCACAGAAGCCAAGAAAATGCTAATCGGTAAACTAAAAGGTTTGTTGTCGGTGATCGGCGAACTATATACGTCAGCACAATGGAAGCTCCAAATTTTAAGACGATACATACCCTCACAACTGGCTTTTGAGCTTAGGACATACGATGTCTCGTTGACCTGGATTGGCAGCTGCCTTGACCCATTGATGGTAGAGGCAGTGAGAATGTGGCTGTCATTGCCAATCAGTAGTTGTCCGCTTTAGTACGTCCATATTTGTGAGATGAAAGTCAGTAACCATTAATATACACTCTACTTCAAATTTTGGCAAACTTACCTGTGTCAAACCGCCGCACCAAAAAGAAAAAATTTTCTAGTCTGCAATGGCTTAAAAAAATTTTAAAGAACCAAAATAAAACTGAAATATCACAGAAATCTAAGCATTACGACATCTAAAAATATGCCAAATGGACTAGTTTTATTAAACGTTCACTATGATTTAGACGTAGTTGCTAGATATATTCAGTTTGAAGAAAAAATTTTTTTATAATAATATAGTTATTTATAATTTAATTTTTGTAACAAAAAATAATAGTTTTTAGTATATTTACATTTATATTTTGATATAGTATTTATTATTTTTATTTTTTAGTTGCTATATTTACGTGCTTGTCAGAGAGTAATTTTTAAAAAGAAAACTGTTTTTTGAATCCTCCTCAAAAACAAAATCCTAGCTACGCCGATGAAATACATATTAAGTCTATTTAACTAAAAGTTAACCAAAAATAATGAATTAGCATAAACGGTAGAAAGTATTTATATATCATTTTTATGTGTTCAAATGAAGTGAAAAATGTGGTATAAATTTTGAAAAAGTAATGATTAAACCTGATTTGACCCAAAGCGGTCTATCAGTTTCTCTTTTTTCAATGATGTAACCAATTATAGGCATTCCTCCATCGTGCAAAGGCGGATCCCAAGAAACACTGATATGATCGGTCCAATATTCTTTCACTTGAAGGTTCTCAGGAGCAGATGGTTCATCTAATAGCAATGTTTCATATAATTTTAAAAACATTTTGTTTTACTGGACCAAATAATATTTTTCTTCTCTAGAATTTTAATTTAATCTATATGACAAAATGTAACAGAACAACACTCAATAATATTCAACAATTAATGTAATTATGCAAAAATTTTCAAAGAATCGTAAATACATCTCAATTGAAAAATTAATTTACAAACCAAATGGAGATTTTGCTTTAACAGGTTGTTTGATAGTACAAGGCGGCCCAAAGCCAGCTTGATTTTCAGCATATACTCTAAACATATACTCTGTTCCTGTTGTTATATTACAACGATAATTACAAACCAAACTAAAAATTATGAGTTCAATCTTTTTTCAATCTTTAAAATTTGCGTTGTTTAATTCCAAAAATGTTATTATTTCTAAATAATGTTATAAAGTGCTCGAGGGAAAAATTGAATTTCCGCGCACCCGTAGCCATTTTTTATTTTACATTTTTTTAGTAATTTAAAATTATTAGGTATAAGGCCACTGCGTAAACATTTTTCATTAAATTCTATCGCTATAATATTATTTATTTTAATTGCTCGATTTTTTTAATAATAATAAATAATAATATTTTAATAGTTTAAAATAGTTTAATTACAACACAAAAAGATTTTTTTCGGCAAAATTGCCATCATTAGTGTTATAATTTAAAATACAGTTAAAAAATGTTGTGACTTACTGACCAGTCTAGTACAATAGTGGCAATATTTGAAAAGGTAGAAATAATTAAATAATTTGTTATAATTTGTTAACTCCAGATTTTTTGTATATATTTTCTTCTCAACAGTACACCTGCTTAATCAACTTATCAGGATAAGACTTTCATCACAAGACACCTCAAATATATTAACACTCATTAAATATTTGTCATTTGTTCAGTTTTGTCTTTTCTTTTTCTTTAGCAAACACATAACTTACTTGCTAAGTTATAAACTAGTCAATTAATTAATTATTTAATCTTTTTTTACATTTTTACAATCATTACTTTATTTTCCACGCTCATTATGCCATTATGCTTTTACACTTGAAGGGGATTAAATGTACATAGTTATTATGAATATTTTAAACTATTATAATTATTAATTAGTTTTATTATTAATTTTAATATCTATGTTTGAATTTAATTTATTATTATTATTACTACTACTTCTTTATTATTAATATTACTACTACTTTTTACTACTAACGCATGTTGATGGAAAAGATCACGGGTTGCATATCAACAAAGACAAAACAAAGGTGATGATTATGGGAAAAGGCAGAAACAATGCGGAATTTCAGATAGAATCAGAAAAATTTGAACAAGTTGACCGGTTTGTGTGTCTTGGCAGTCTTATAACCTGTGACAAAGTCAGAGAAAAAAAAATTGAAATTTTTTGGACACATTTGTAGAATGAGAGAAGATAGATTGATTAAGATGGTAGCTACTAATGAGAAAAAGACATTGGAAGAAAATGTTGGTAGACCTGCAAAGAAATAGATAGATGACATTACTAAATGGACTGGTGTTGGTATTCTGAATTCAATAAATCTGGCGAAAGATAGAAAAGGTTTTTGGAAAAAAAAAGGAAAAAATGAATGTAAAAAGCATGCTTAGATGTACACCATCGGTCTCGACGGTCCCACGATGGACAAGAGGATCATTGATTGATTGATTGATACTTTTTCTTTGCTTCACTTTTCCTCCTCCCTTTTAACGTTAGTACGAGATTGTTATGTTCGTTTGGTTAATAATAAAAATAAAATTATTTCTACTCGTCTTAAACTGTCCAATTTATAATTCGACAACCAAAGCGAAACAATAAAAAATCGAACATTCCTCAACAATTGGGTAACCCCGATATAATTTGAACAACGAAAATCCGACGTGAAAAGAAAAAAACGAGATCATCAATTCAATCAACAAAATGTTCCAACCGAATGATGACCCGATCGCCATATTACCTCTTTTCCAGAAAACGTTATCAACAGATGCCGAAGTGCAATTTCAATTGCGAAACGTGATGTGTTATGTATTTTCATTTTCATACTTTAAATTGTACGTATATTACAATAAATTAGCTGTTAATTGTTAAAAAGTTATATTTTATTTTAAAATATTATGATTTATGATATACATTTAATTTCATTGGACTAAATGTTCTTTGCTTTGTATGTAACTTTACTTTTTCCTTTTTTTCTGTTGTTCAAGTTGATAATAAACAAGTCAAAAACGTTTCTAAGTTTATTTTCTTCTTTTAATGTCTTTCAATATTATACTAATATCAATTAATTAAAACGAGGCAAAACCTTAGGATGGTACTCGGAAATTTCATAAAATAGTAAACAAAGAGTTAAGAATAAATCTAGCTTAATTTGCGCTATTTAGCTCCTCCCCCTTTTTAATAGCCGT